AATATATATAATTTTATTTTCCTTTATTTTTTACAAATGCTCTCTTATAAATTCTAGAATTAAAGTTAATTTAGTTTTTTTTGGTTCATTGGTGATTTATTTTTATCTAATATAGTATAGTCGTATGTCTAATATTTACTCTTTATTTATATTCATTTCTATTAGTTGGGTTTAATTGATGGGTTACAGAAAATCTCGTAAAAGAGTGAAATTATTTGAGTCAAATTTTAGGTGATGGATTGACTGAATATGATTGATGTGTGTAAATATTAGCATGAAATAATAATTTAATCATCTCTCAAATTGTAATTAAGAATCAAATTGAGAATTACAAAAAGATTACATATCATTTTGTATATTTTACCTTCTTTTTAATTAAATTATAATTTTTATCTTTCAACTTAATTTTTCTCAATGTTTACTATTTTATTTAGCTTCAATTTGTTTTAAATATGTCTCATATGAATTTACTAAATATTTACAATTTTTTTATTGTGGTACATTTTTTTTACCATATTTTCTCGGTCTAAATAAATGTCGCATTAAACATTTTTTGGCTACTAACCTAAGTATATAACTCAACTTGTTCAAGACATTAATAATCTTTTCTAGACGTTATGTTCAACAACAAAAAAAAAAAAAACTTTTTCTACACGTTAAATGTTCAAATTTCCACTATGATTATATTGTAGTACTAAAAAATAATTGTCAAATTTTTGTGATGTTTGGAGACATTTTTTTCAGAGATATAACAAAATTAAGAAATCAATTCTCAAGCTAAAATAGTAATTTAACCTACTGATTTGTTTGGGAGCTGATATAAAAATAGAAAACAGAGGAAAATACTCGAGCAACTAAATAGATTCCCATTTGCTGTATTTTCCATAATTGTTCGTAAAAAAAACAAAAGCTGTTGTAGATATTCTTCTCTTTTTTTTTTCTTTTTTAATTCTTTAATTTGGTAGTTAAAAAAGTGAATATTAATCAATCAAATGATTTCCCATTGAATAAATATAATATTTTATTTTCATGAACTAATTTAATAAAATTAAGAGAAAAGTATAATTTTGATCCCTGAATTTCGTTTACATCAATTGAAAACAATCCTATAAATAAAAACTCGCAAATATGGAGATGCAGATTCTCGGAGGATCTCAAAGTACTTTAACTATTGAATTATACTCCAATTGACAATTCAAAAAATATATTAATGAAAATATTTGAATTGAAAACATGAAACGAAGCTCATTGTCTTACATTTTTTTCCTTCATATTTTCACGTTTCGATCTTTATACATTGAAATATTTAAATTACCCTTTTAATTTCATTTTTTTCACTTAAATCGCAAAAAAATGATAATATGAGTATTTCTTTAAATAATTGATATATTTATGTAGAAATAATATTAGGGATGCAGGAGTTTCGAAATTCATTTTATTAGCACTATGAAACATGAGTAATATTTTGTTAATATATATATTTTTTAAATTATATGATGGAGATGGAGGATTTAGAACTCCAATCTTGAGGTAACACCGACAAAAAATTTAACTTTCTACAACCAAAACTAACGATATCTTTTAGATAGGTAAGATTTGCAACGAAATACATAAACTTTGAAAATGAAAGAAAATGACACTATGTTTCCGTATCGCTTATTCAATACAAAGTCATAACGAAAGTATTTTTATGATTGCGATAAAATAATTTATAAGTGATATTTTAATCCATTAATTATAAAATTAATCCTAGTATAATTCAACAGGTGAAAAATATATGTTAAAATGAGAGTTCGATAATTTACGTATATATCAAAGGTTCACATTCTTATCCAGAATCGTTATAAAAGCGACGAT